CTGTGGTCTTTCTTTCCTGCCTTCCTTTCTCTCTTAGCTCCTACATATGAGTGAGCACATGAGGTAAATAACAAGTACTTTCTAGATACGTTTCTTTATTTTTTTTTAAAGGACAGTGTGAATGTGTATGTGTATTTTACATGGAAGGTTTCTGTAAGGAAACACAAGAAATTACAATGGAGGCTATTTCTGGGAGGGGGGAGTAGAACTGGGGTCTGGAATAAAAATAGACTGATTTTTTTATTATATATTTTATTGTTCTATTTTGATTTTGTAACAATTGTGTGTTAGTTTTATTATATTTTTTATTTATAATTTTAAAAATCAGGAAACATACATCAACAGTGTTGGGCATTGTCCACTGACTTCTGGTATAACCTTTATACTTTTAAACAAAAGGACCAAAACCCTTGAAAACTCTTTCTAGAAACCTGATACACAAGAATTGTGCCCAATATGCTTGGTGGTGGTCCTTTGCCCAGTGATTAAACTGTGTGATTTTGTCTACATAACTCTGGCTCCTCATGGTGGGGTTGGGAGTGGGGGGCAGTTAGAAATGGGTCTTCTAATAGATTTTGTTAGGTAAGGGAAACTGAGGAATGAAGGTATCAGACAAAGTTACTTTTCACCATACACCCTTTTGTATCTTTTTCATTTTGTGTCCCATATATGTATTTCCTATTAAAATATTAAAAATTAGCTGGATGCAAGGAAGAATTAATAAATGCATACAGAGTAAGAAAGATTGTGAGTCTGCAGTGTCAAGAAATATTTCAAGTAGAATAATTAGCTCTGGCATCAACCAAAGTAATTAACATAATTGTTTCTTGAAACCTCCTCTGGATATTGTGGGAAGCTATTCCTGAAATGCTAATAAGCAGTACTNAAAGCAAAGCAAAGACACAAAACCAAACCAAAACACTGATTTTCTGAAGTTCAAGGCTAACTGAATAAGTTCAGAAGTGGTGACATTTAGAAACTGTGCCACAGACCACAGAGGGGCTGCAGCCTCTGCTACTCATGTGCCCCATGTCATAAGGGGCATCTTGTTTTTCATCTCAGAGAACTTCTTTCCAGAAAGTCTGAACTATCTTATAATTCTGGGGTTTCCAGCTCCTGCTTGAGGGCTCTACTTTATTGACCAATTTAAAGAAATCAACAGAGGGAGGAAGCGGCTGAGTAGGAGTCAGGAGAAGCACCTCGCCAAGAAGGGAGAGTACAAAGGGGTAAAATGCCCTCTTAGAACCTTTTTTATTTTTTAAATATGATTTTTGTTTGGTTGGTTGGTTTTTGGTGGCTGGCCAGCACAGGGATCTGAACCCTTTGACCTTGGTGTTATAACACCGTGCTCTAACCAACTGAGCCAACCAGCCGGCCCCTTCCTAGAATCTTTTAAATAAATCTATTGTGGAGCCACTCATTTCAGTAGCATGGACATCAGTAAAAATGACAAATAATAGNTTTTTTTTTAATTTATTTGAAATAATTTCTTTCTTTCTTTCTTCATTTATTTATTTATTTCGAATATTCATGACATACAAAGCTGATTGTCTCCCCTCCTGCCCATGATGTGGGGCCAGATTCATATTGGGGATATACCCATTACCAGAAATTGCTTTTGTACCCTGTGCCCCCTTCCAATTATCCCCCAACCTCCCTCCCCCTCCCCCTCTCCCCTCAACTTCAATGTGTAGCCCTAGGAATGTTCCCTCCCTCTGTTGGATCTTGGGACTACTGTGGTCTTTCTTTCCTGCCTTCCTTTCTCTCTTAGCTCCTACATATGAGTG